ATGACAAACCGGGTGTTGACCCCTTTTAGCGAAAAGGAATGAGCATAAGGAATCGCAAAAGCGATGACGATGAGTGCACATTAAATGTTTTTGCGACCCTATTAGCGATACGTCAAGGCTTTGTGCACCCCTTTTAGCGGAAGTCGTAAGAGGTGAGGAGGCGTTGTAAGCCAGTTATAAATTTCGTCGAGCGAAGGTGGAGGAGGGAATCTAAAACTACGAATCAATTCGCACGTGCTTTTTCATTGTGCGTCGTCGGAAATGGTGAGGAGGCGCTTTAAACCACCACTCCTTCCTACAGTTGGAAATCCCCCCCCCCCCTCGCAGCCCGTCAAGGGTGCGTTTTCCCCCCTTTGAGACATGGAGACATTTTTTGGTCGTCCTTTGTTATACCGGTCGGGACGTTTGGACGTTGGAAGTCTCAAACAATGCAGGAAGGTGCAGGTGTGACACTTTGGGGGGTGGTGTCAGTTTGTCTGAAAAATGAGGGAGTGGTAGCTAGCTGTCGGTGACATTTTCCCCCCTTTGAGACATGGAGACATTTTTTCGTCTTCCTTCGTTATATCGGTTGTGTTGTTCGGTCGTTGGAAGGCTCGAAAAATGCAGGAAGGTGCAGGTGTGGCACCTTGGGGGGTGGTGGCAGTTTGTTCGAAAAACGAGTGACCCGTAGCTGCCGGTTGGAGCACGCTTTGGGTTTCGGTCGAGATCAAAACGGTGGCAAAGTAGGGGTAAATGGAAAGGGCGCGCGGGGCCGAGGACAGGGGCTGAAAAGTCCGACAAAAGTGTGGAGGCTTGGGCAGTGGTTGAATCGACACTTCCGTCCGATGAAAGTGCTCGGGCTTGGGCAGTGGTTGAAACGATACTTCAAGCTTGCACTGACTCTCTCTCTCTCTCTCTCTATTTATAAATCAAGCATATACAAACTTCAGGCTGCTCACCTGTGCCCTCACGGTAAGTCAATGAGTTACGGAGGGCTCTTAGGGAGGACAGCGACCGAAGCCCGAAACGGCGGGCCCAGTATCGCAATTTGACATCGACAACTTTGCCGATTTTTCTCGCTTAGAAGAATTCATACAAATTCTAAAAATTCGAGGGTTCTTACATTCGCTCGTGGTTCTTCCACGAAAAATATCAAAAACATTTAAAAAATTTATTTCGACCGCCAAACAATTGTCGTGCCGATGTGGTGCATGTTCGAGTTATGTTACAATGTCATTTGTGGAAGAGGCTGCCAACAAAGCTCGAGTACCCATTTTCAAACTCGAAAACATTCCGCACATAAAGACCTCGCCATCGTACAGTTCTCACTATCGCAGATGTGAATCATTGCAATTCTGGTGCATTTTTATCCGTCAATACGGCAGTTGAGCGAGAAATAAAATCAAAGCGCAGGGGTTATGCATCACACATTTTAAAGGTCCAACATCATACGTAAAATAAAGGCGAGTGAAAACTCACGGCACATGCGCCAACAAGGATTCGGCATCGGGAATCGCAAAAACGATGACGATAAGTGCACATCAAATGTTTTTGCAACCCTTGTAGCGACACGTCAAGGCGTCGTGCACCCCTTTCAGCGATACGTCAAGGCTTCGTGCACCCCTTTTAGCGATATGCACCCCTTTTAGAGGAAATAGCAAAAGGCTAAAAGCGGAAGTCGAAAGACGTAAGAAGGCGTTGTAAGGCAGTTATAAATTCCCTAGAGCAAACCTGGAGACTACATCACACACACATTTAACGAAATGCGTATTCTTGAACTACGAATGAATTCGCACATGCTCTTATGCAGTCCATCGTTGGAGGCGCTTTAAACCACCACTCCCTCCGACAGCAGCAAATAGCCCCCCCCCCCCCCGGGGAGTTTCGGCGGGTTCTTAGGGAGAGCGGCAACCAGAGGTCGAAACGGCGGACCCAATCTCGCAATTTGACAGCGACAACTTTGGCGTTTTTCGCGCTTAGAAGAATTCACAGAAAATTTTAAAAATTCAGGGGTTCGTAGATTTGCTCGTGGTCCTTCTAGGAAAAATATCAAAAATATTTAAAAAATGAATTAGACCTCCAATTAACCGTTGCGCCGATTTGGGGCACGTTCGAGGTCTGCTACAATGCCATTAGCGGGCCAACAGGGAAAGTTGTACAACTTCACTGGTTTTTCGCACTTCGAAGAATGCGTCACAGGCCCCCAAAATTGGAGGGCCAGTAGATTTGCTCGTGATCTTTTCTTTGTTTTTTTTTTTTTTAATTGATAATCATTCGAACCACGAAGTAGATCGTGGAAACGATTTGCCATATTTTTAATTCTGCCCTCCTGCCAGTTTTATAATCTATACCATGGGCAGCCCTAATGAACCTGTGCTACCGTTTTCTTGACGTCGGACAGAGTGGTGGTTTAAGCGGGGTAGAAATGGATGCCAGCAAAGATGGAGGAGCCAATTTCACTATTGGCAAATCATGACACAAAGGATAATCTTTTTCACGATGTATCATTTTTTTTCGATAAGACAGAGAATAATCATTGAGGCAAAATATCATTTGTTGCGAACTTGCATAAATGATCAGTCTTCCGGTGACAACGCAGAAGGTAACAATTTTGGACAATCATCCATTTCGGTGAATGCCTCATATCGATCCTTGAGCGACAAATAAGGTTGAAGCACAGGGGTCAAGCACACACACATTCTGGCGATAACATAGTTGATGATTATTTCTGGTGAACTTGCAGCTATGAACAAAATTTTGGTACAACACAAAAAATAATCATTCTGGAAAATTTGTAGATATGAACAGTCTTATCACAAATTTATAGCTTCTAAATTGGGAATATGTTCGCATTTGTCATATGGAAGCAACAATAAGCTTTCGGTGAAGACTACGACATGTATTCTGGCGATAAAAAAATTGGTGATCATTTACTGTACCACTAAATTTTGTGAAGTTCATAAAACAAAGTCAAACACACATACAATCTGGCGATAATTGATTTTCGAATTGCGAATAAGTTGACAATTGTCACATGGGAACAATAGTCAACATTCATTGGAGACAAGGAGGGTGTTTGCGGGGACGAGGGCACAACAGAGGGGGTAAACCGAAAAAATGGGGCAGTACGCGGAGAAGGGGGGTGGGGGTTGGGGGGAGGGGGGAGGGTCTTTCAGACCGTAAAGTCTCGCGTAAGAAAGAAACAAGCACGAAAGAATTTGGCGACCAAGAAGTAATCATTGATATTTTTCACCAACATCGTGGTAAATGAACTTTGAGACAAGCACGAAACAATTTGGCGACCAAGAAGAAATCACTGATGTCTTTCACCACTATCTTCTAAATGAAGCAGAGTATCCAGTCCTACGAGCATGAGTGTAAAGAATGTCCACAAGAGGATAAAGATTTCCCATGAGTAACACAGGAGCACAACCTGGAAACGAATAAAGGCAACACGACGCTGCCGCGGTCGTGCAGGAAATAAGGAGAATAATCCGAAAACAAACAAAGGCAGCACGAAGGTGGGATATTCACATCCGATATCTAAACGTCTACTTAAAAGATACTGCACCATGTAGCAGGAAATAAGGAGAATAACCTGACAACAAACGAAGGCAGCACGACGCTGGCGGGGTCCTAAAAAACAGGGTGCAAGAGGCCACGTCATTTGCATCGGGAAAACAAAAAAACCAAGAAAGTCAAAGACAATCCCACGTGTAATGTTGTCAGGTTCGTCAAAATGAAGAAGCCTTAAAAATACTGCACCACGAGGTTGGGATATTCACGTCGACATCTAAGTGTGCACTTGATAGATACGTCCACTGCAATGCTCTACCTCATCAAAACAACACCACAGCTCGAGCCGCCCGACTGTTAGACTAAGTGAGAATAGATTCACACTTTTGTTTATGGCCTTGCGAATAAAAAACGTTGCGCATTTTTAAAACAGGGATATTAATCTGAGCCTTGGATTATGTCCACGGCCATCCTCAGCCTGATGTTCGGAATGCCGCTTTGACCTATCGGAAATGGAGGTGAATGACCGCGTGCCAGGAAGGAAGCGAAGGCGAGCATGAAAACACCGCAGCTCGACCCGTCCGACTGTTGAGGGACACCATGAATAACCATTTTGGGCTCCGACATATCCAGTTTTGTGTGTTGACCAAATTGACGAACTGCTGCGTCACAGAGGTATTTTGTGAAGTTCGCAAGCACACCGGAAGAAAAACCGTCATCGTCTTGAAGGAGGGAGTCGTACTACTCCAACCCTCCTTCGCGAACGCATAAAAGGGTCCAGTGCACTCAATTTTTATGAACAGGAATGATTAGCATATTGTACGAAAAAACATTGACATCTTTTGTCCACCTCACAACCCTATCATGTCGACATCACTCGTCGACGAGCTTCGTATAGAAAAACGGACTGAAAATATAAACAGAGGGACACCTCGGCAACGTAGCATAGCCAACCAAGGCCAAATAGGATTCCACCACCTCGTCGCAAAGCCATCCCCACTGAACAAGAGTCTGAAGATTTTTCCTTCTCAACACAATAGAACTGGTCCCTTTGCGAATTGAGAAAACCACCTCGTGGCCGTTGCTGAAATCCCCGCAGACCTCCTGCAACATTCTCAAGTCTGCACCGCTAAGCTCCTCAGCAGGCAACATCACACGAAAAGATGATGTAGCCGCAACTGCACAAACACCCAAGAACAAGTGTGAGGAGCCGCTTAAACCACCAGTGTCCCCGATGCTGATGGCATTTCCAGACAAGCCTTCGCGAAACTCTTCATCCCGCTGCACAACATGCGTCTCCTCCAAAGCATGACCTTCGCACTCGCTAGCCTCTGTCTCCAACACTCCTACAGTGGGCCCCTGAACAGATGTCGCTGCACGCTGTAAATGTTCACCCTCTTCCAAGAGGAGCACGAGCAAGGTGTCGTCCTGAATAGAACAAGCGTAATGCGCACTGCGGCGAGGACTGTCCTCAACGTCATGAAACGAAGTTCTTGCAGACAATTGCGAATCTGCTTGCACTTCATAAGACCCAGGGCGGCCTCGTCTCACGTGTTGGAATCTCGACTCCCTTCGCAGTGGCTTTCACCTCCGCCCGACCCGACTTCCGGCTGCACAGCATGCGCTTCTTGTAAGAGGTCCTCTTCCCCCAAAGCTGTTGCACTCTTGCTCTCAACATTGACGGACGCGCCCTGTCGAAGCATGACAATCATGCTCGCTAGCATCGGTCTCAAAAACACTCCTGCATCGAGCCCCTCCCGCACGTCGTGAGGCGGCCAATGTTGAGTTTCCTCTTCCCGCTGCGCAGCATGCGCTTCTTGTGAGAGGTCCCCTTTTCCTCGAGGTGGTGCACTCTTGCTCTCTAAGTCGACGGACACCACCTCCGAAGGATGACTTAGATGGCCGCTAGGCCCAGTCTCCAACACTCCTGCGTCGAGATCATCCGACACTCTGCTAGGCGGAGAGTGTTGAGTCACCTCTTTCCGGTGCACAACATGTGTGTCCTGTGACCGCTCCTCTTCCCCCGGATCCGCTGCATTCTTGCTCTCGAAATCAATGGAAGCACCCTCCGAAGCGTAACGATCATACTCGCTAGGCCTGCTCCCCAACACTCCTGCAGCGGGCCCCTCCAGCACTTTGCGCTTGTCGGCGTCGTGAAACAAAGTCCTCGCAGACAAGTGCGAATGTACTCGCACTCGATAAGACCTCAGGGCCGCCTTGTCTCGCATGCCCGAGTCTCGACTCCCTTCGCAACGGCTTTCAGTTCCGCTAGACTCGTGACTTCCGAACGCTGTACGGTTTCCGCCCGACCCTTTTCCGCCCAGCCCCTTTCCGCCCGACCCCTTTCCGCTGGACCCTTTTTCGCCGGACCATTTTTCGTCGGAGCCCTTTGGTTCCGACGACGTTTCGCCTGCCCCCTTCCCCTTTGCTTCGTCACCACCAGATCTTGAGCCGTCTCCTCCGTCACCTCCTCCACCGGGTCCTGCACTGTCTCCCTTCGCAGCGGCTTTCAGTTCCGCTAGACTCGTGACTCCTGAACGCTCTACGCTTTTCGCACGGCCCTTTTCCGCTCAACCCCTTTCCGCCCGACCCCTTTTCGCCCGACCCCTTTCCGCCGGACTCTTTTTCGCCGAACCGTTTTCCGCCGGAGCCCTTTGGTTTCGATGACGTTTCGCCTGCCCCCTTCCCCTTTGCTTCGTCACTACCTGATCCTAAGCCGTCTCCTCCGTTACCTCCTCCACCGGGTCTTGCGCTATCTCCTCCATCACCTCGCCTACCGCCTCCCGGATGTTGACCACCCGACGGAGTTTGCGGCATGCGCCAGTCAATGCCACGAGACGGTGCCGTCTCCAGTGCGTAGAAAAGCGCTTGAAACTCCAACATTTTGTTGGCGTACAACTCATCTAGCTTTTGGCTTGCATACGCATTAACGTTCGGCAGGCTCCTGTCGGGGTTCATAACCCTCAAATGCTCCACCAAAGTTTCTCTCGCCTTTTTCTTAAAGGGACCCGCTCCCTGTCTGTTCATGCCAGTCCACTTGCCATCGGCTTCCTTCATTGCCATGACCCACTTTCCAGTCTTGACAGCAGGTTGGAATTTCCTGGGGTGCCAGACAACGTTGTGGCCCCAAACATCCTCCGGCGTGAACCGGTGATGCTTCCCGTAGAAGAAGAGCCTGTCATTCTCCCAGGTATCATGGTCCCTAGGGAGCTTGTCACCAAGTTCGGCATCATAGTCTCGCTCTTCTTCCTCGTCATCAGAAGATTGGTCCTCGACTGTTTCGCGCTCAAATATACGCTTCAAACCGGCAGAGGACGTGCTATATCTCCGTCCGAGGAACACCTTCCCCTTCATCATCAACCTGTACAACCACCCGAGGAAGTGGCATGGACTCGAAATCGAAGGTTTCAGAGTCGCTCATCTCCTCCATGTCCTCAGCGTCGAAAGGGTCCTCCTCGTTGAACTGCGCCTTGTAGTTTTCGAGGGTCGGCGGTTCGGTCATCAAGAAGAAAACATGCTCTTGCCTTTTGAGGAGAGTTGAGACAGACTCCCTGGGTGCATCGTGGTAACCATTCAGCACACGGAACACCAGGTTCCTCCGTCGGTTGTATTCCAGGTCGGGCTGAGCAGGCGGTCCTGGCTGGAAAAGGAACTCCCAAACCTCAGTCCTTTTCTTCTCCGACAATTTTCAATACATATCACGTTTGGAATCCCAGTTCCGTTCGCCGGTGGTCTGGACAAGGTTCCCCACGCGTGTCTTAACGAACTCGCAAAGGTAATCGATCTTTTTCGCCTCGTCCTTTAACGCAACGACGTTCCGACCGCTGCGGAGGAGCTCCCACACGGCAGACGCGTGCGCCTTCCCGAAGAAAAAAATAGTTTGTCCAACTTTGCAAAAGTTGTCTAGCAGACCAATCAGATGAGCTAGGTTGTGCTCCCTGTCCCCGTAAGTAGCTCCTCGAACACTTGTCACGTCGCTGTCCTCCCACTGGCTACGAGGGAACTTGTCCTCGTCTACCACGTCGAAACAGGCCACAGCCTGTCCTGACGGGTCGGATGAACGGGCAACTTTCGAGTGTGTCGCCGCCACAGGTTTGGTCGGACTTGGAGCATTGGCACGGGGAGGCTTCGATGGACTACTGACCGGGAAGACTGCGACCGTGTTGTCTGCCAGGTTCTCGCCATTGAAAACCATGTACAGACAATCATACTCCTCGACCAGCATATTGCCTTCCCGAACAGTGGCCTTTCTTTGTGCATGACGCACCCACTTCCCTGTCCTGACATGATGAACGCTGAGCTTGGCCATGCCTTTCAAGAAACCGAGCTTCCAACGAGAGGGGAAGAAGACGACAAGTGCCCAGTGCCTAGGCGAAATGGTTTGGAGAATGCCTTGCAAGGAGGCAAAATCGTCTTCTTGCCAATCTGAGAGGAGTGTGGGATCACACAAATCGAGGACGTACAAGTTGTACACGTAATGTCGCACAATCTCGCGGATCTCAGTGAGACGAGTGTGAGCCTGGGAAGCTGGACAACTAAAAGGAATAAGGCTGGTCACCCGGTTGATCTTGTGCCATTTGATGTGTCTCACATCCCCACGGGCCCTGATTGTGTCTTGCACTTCTTTCTCCGTTTGTCGCAAGATGGAGCGGACGGACTTCTCGAAAGATATAGGGAACCTCTCATCATCGTACATTTTCTTCGTTTTGTTGAGGGACTCCTTCTCGTACAGAAGACACCGTTTGCAAGTGTTGACGTACTCCACCGCGCCGTGGAAATGCTTTCGTAGTTCGACCCACATCCGTTTCGCGAGGCCCCGCGGTGCAAACTCCGCCAGAAGCTGCTCCTCGGTCCGAAAAAACTGGCTCCTATACCGCCAAACCTTTGCATCCTCCTCGGATTTGAGGAACAAGATGTAGTGAAACATGTGGAGCATCATGCGGTCCACTTTCCTCGTCGCCACCATGTCTTTAATTCCAGGCTTATGCTGACGTTTAAGATGTCCGCCCTCCGATTGCACGAACACTCCCTTAAGCGCGAGAATGTCGTCGAGGATCGACAGTTTTTTGGCATTGGTCGTGTCAGCGAGAGATTGCCAACAGAACATGTCTGGCTCCTTCACGACGACGAAAAACTTGTCGTCCGATTGCATTTTCTTTTTGGTCGGAGGTAGCGGGACCCGGAGCAGCCACCCCATCTTCGTTTCACCAGCCGCCCCTTTCGCGCCCATTTTCGGAATCGCGTGAAGACCCGGAGATTTGTCTGGCATGTATTTGCCCGGCTTCGACAGGGGCGTCTTCCCGTCTCCGCCCAACAACTTTCCTTCGGCCCATTTATCGTAGAACTCCATGCCTTTGCGAAAAACCTCCTCACTGGCGTCACGAGGGACATTCATTGCCTCGATGCATTGCCAATGGCAGCGACGTGGTCCTTCTCGGCGAGCGTTGTCGCTTTACGTGCCATTGTCCAGTGAGCGTCGTTCGGACTCTTTCCCAAAAGCAACTTTTGGAATTCGAAAAACGCTTAGTTTTTGGCTTCCTTACCGGAAGGGTTTCCTTGAATGGCCACCGGTCTTCCTTGATGGTGCCATGCCTCCTGCATGTTCTCGAAAGCGACCTTCTGCGCACGCTGCTTAGACATCTTGTGTCGTGTGTTCTCCATGAGACTAACCTGCAAATACCCCCCAAAGTCTTCGTTGGAGAACCACACGACTCTCGTCGGCCACGAGTGCATCTTCCACAATTCGAATATTGGCTAGCCGGCCAAGTCCTTCACAGCAGCCACGGTGTGTTGTCCGTTGACAGGGTAATAGAAGTACTTGTCCTTGTCCTCTGGCTTGAAGACATTCTTGTGAACCCTCTCAGCTCTCTCCGGCTTATGCGTCACCGGCTTGTAGATGGGTGCCAGAACCGAAGGGTTTTTCGTCCAGATCTTACCCTTTTCCTCGTGGAACTGCCTTACCATCATACCCTTGATGTCCTCCACACCATCGCGAGTGAGATTGCGGTGATTGTAATATCTTTCCCACGGCGGGATGTCGCAGACCTTCCTAGGGTCGATGAGCAGTTGAATGGGGAGCTCCTTCTCCATGATCTCACCGTCATCGTTCCGCTCGTATTCGAGCCAAAACGTTGCCGCTTCGTCGTACTGCCTACCGACCGCCCTTTCGCCACCACTCGTCCCCTCAATAGTCTTCCTCCTCCGAGGTTTCTTCTGGCCATCCCCTTTTTCAGCTGCCAATTTCCTTTTCGATTTCTCTGAAGGTTCTCTCGTGGAGGCAATGCCTAGACGAGACGAATCTCCTTCACCCATAGCTTGTCCTTCGCGGATGGTCAAACCGGCGGGCCTCTTCGTTTTCTTACTTGTTGTTGCACCCTCTTGCTTCGACTGCCTCTTTTCGACTCCTTGTTCTTGTCCGCCACGCATGCCTGGCGTCCTCTTTCCCCAGGCACGTTCTCCGACGTCACCTTCATCCCCGCCAACCATCGGCTCCGAGTGTCCTTTCATCCTCTTCATGCCTCGGGTTTGTTCCGCCACCTCTTCTCGCACCGTCTTTTGTCGTTCCCGCTTCTTCTCCGAAGCAGTCGGCTCCCCGCCAGAGTTGTCGCGCACAATGCCCATCCCTTCAGCCTCATTCCCTCCAACTTCTTGCCCTGATCTGCCGGATTCTCTTCTCGCCTCATCTCGAAGCGAATACACGTCACCCTGGCAGACGAACTTGAGGATTTTTGGAGTACCGACCCGGTGAGTCCCTGCATCTGGAGAATGCAAGCCAGACGTGTTCCCAGGAGCATTCGGGCCGACCTGTGTCTGAATGTTGCGCGCGTTGTCGGACTTTTTTCTAATCGGGCCTCTTCAGGCGACCAGAAAGTCAACAGGCTGTCACACAGGATTTTGTCGGTTCTGTTGTGTGCATCCGGCTTCGAGCGAGACCTTTCAATTATGGTCATTGTCGGTCCTCGGTCTTAGAAATCTTTTATTTTAATTCGGAACAGCAAAAAACCATGTAATAAATAATCATAAATTCTGATATGCCATGAATGCATCAATTTTACCAATTTTCTAATTTTGAGAACTATGAATGAATCATCAAAGAAAATCATCAAGCAAGGACAATGCAAGAAGCAAGACTGATTGACTGAAGGCAAAGACAAGATTGATGATCATGTGAGAGAAGAGGAGAACTCTTTATCGCATCAAGGCCACAAACGAACAGATAAACATAGAACCATTGTCACTATAGTCAACTCTCTCTCGTCTCTCTGAAGATGATATCATACTCAGATATCAGACAATGGTTAATATGATGTCAAGTGGAACTTGAACGGTTCCGCTTGATGCTGACCTGTACTCAAGAGGAGGTCTGTTGCGGCTTGCATCTTATGACTGTACTCAAGTCCTGAGTCTGCTACTCAACATATCCGTCAATGCTCAAGAAAATCTTCCTTTGAGTCTGCAGTACTCACATACTTGCTAATTTTAAAACTGCTCACTTATTATCAGATCAGTCCTGTTGAACAATGGCGTCACCAAGAGCTACTGTCATGACATAAATTGTTACTGATGTCACCACGAAAACCCGCTATGACCAGCACTTTGTTATTGTCATCGGGATTTTCTGCTGTGACCAACACCCTGGCTGTTACCACCGGGACCTCCCGCTGTGGCCAGCACTATCGCTGTTGTCACCGGAACTGTTCGCTGTGACCAGCTTCGTCGCTGCTACCATTGGGACCTCCCGCTATGGCCAGCACTGCCGCTGCCGTCACCGGAACTGCCCGCTGTGACCAGCGTTATGTCCCCTGAGAACGGGACCTGCTGAGATTAAACTGAAACCATTGATCGAGCCCACTGAATGTGGATTTACTGGAATTGATAATTAAATTCACTCAAGTTGATCTGAGCTTACCAACACTGGGTTGAATTCACCGAACACTGAACGGAATTCACTGAAACTCCCGCTGTGGCCAACACTATTGTTGTTGTCACCGGAACTCCATTGTCCTCCGGGAAAGAAGAATCATCTCTTCCCCAGAGTCCACCAAGGCTCGATCTTCACTTGATTAATATAAATGGTCAGGTGCCCACATCCCATGGTTGCAAATCTCATCTTTTAACCTGGCAGTGATCTGTTCACCTGACTGGGAAAAGTTGATCCCAAACAATTAATTTTCAGTTTCTTCTTCTCAATCAACTTTTTTAGCTTTTCCCTCAATTTAGGTGCAAGAGTCATCGCTTCTTTGAACGACAAAGTCACTTCCGTCTTTTCAAACATTTTAGTAATCACGTCAGTAATCATAGTCCCGTCTTCCAACTCACTTTTGAGGATAAATTTCCTCTTCTTTCCTTGTTCATTCTTCTTATGTGGAGGTTCTGGTTGCGGGTCATCAAGGATATTAATCAGAGACTCCTCAACTTTTTTTTTTTTTTTTTTACTATCATTTGGGGCGTCAAGTGTGCTTGAAGGTTTCTCACTTCCCTAAGCACGACACTGGGCTCCATAACGAGTTCTGGAGGTAGGTCGCCATCAAATGACATTATATTGACCAGGAAGTGAGCCGGTTCACTAGAAGGAGATTCTACTAATTCGAAAGAGTTCCGAGGAGTAAAATTCTCCTCTAGTGAAGACTCACTTGTAGAAGCCTCGTTAGACGTAACCTCTATCAATGTTAGGGATTGTAGAGATAGCTCAACCGTGGTATGAGGGTCATCTGTTTCCTGCAGAAGTTCCTCAGGAAACTCATCAATAAGAAAGTGAACATTCACATTACCTGCCATTGAAACTAAGTGGTAAGGTCAAAATCGACGGATACTGACCGTATGGGAGTTAATAACCCATCTATTGATATTGATTTGAGCCTTATTATCAGCCACCAATTACTGTATTAATTTGCGCAGGTTCTTATAATTTCACGGAAATCGTCATAGAAACTTCATAAGAAACCATTTGAGCAGCAGATCGTAGTGCTCCTAGAAAAACCATATTTGGAATTACAAGACCAACTTGTTGTTATAATACCATAGACACCTAAGGACGAAATATCAAATATGTAAAGTATACCTACGTTTAGATCTGACAGTACCATACCATAATCAAAAGGTATTGCTGCCCAAGCAACAATCGTACCAAGTTGCGTCGTATTCAGTATATCATACAATATTCTGCCATGGCCGCTCTGCCACAAGTAACCAAAAACGTTTTTGATGAATGAGTCTAAAAGTTGAACTTCGTACACATGAAGTGTTAATAAAAGGTAAAGGAAATAGTGAAACGAAGACAAAACCTACTACAGCAACACTTCCTAATTTATTCAATATACAGGCATAAATAGGTAAAAAATATCATTCTGGTACTATGTGAGCTGGAGTTGACATAGGATTTGCAGACACGCTTTGCGTCTGAATCCCACGGGCTCGTTAGCAGAGTTGCTCCGTCCAAGAAATAACAGGAAACACTTCTTTCGCAAACTCGTTTTGTAATACAATCTCAAAAAGGTTCCGCTGTACACCGACTCATCAGTGCTTTGGTTTCGTTGATTTCAGTTGGGGAGACTACTTTAAACGCATGCAATATATAGCGATTTGTCAAGATAGAGCTCTTCCTAACAAAATACGTTATGAATATACTCTCAAATTAGCCAAATTACCAAGAAATAGTTCAAAGACACGAGTGAGAAATCGATGTATTTTGACAGGACGATCTCGTTCCGTATATAAATTATTTCGTGTTTTTCGTATAGTTTTTCGTGAATTAACATTCGGAGCTGTGTAGCATCGTGTTCGGGTTCAGTGACCGAACCCGAAAGTTCGGGACCGAACGCGAACGAGCGCCGAAACTCGCCGAACGTGAACAWAAAAAAAAAAAAAAAAAAAAAAAAACTTCAAAAAATCTGACAAAACTATATGTTATGTAAAATAATAATACACACAACTTTTGCGTTGGAGGTTTGGTCAAATTCGTAACCAAACTCGAGTTAAAAATCAGAAACAAAAAAAAAAAGTTTTTTTTTTTTTTTTTTTTTTTAAATATGTTCGGCCGAACACCCGAGCATGTTCGGACGTTCGGAAAAGCTCCGCACATGTTCGGTGTGCTACACAGATCCAGAGGTGTTTTATATGGCATAAATAAGTCTAGCACATTCATAAAGGGCATCTTTTGATGCACTTCGTGCGTGGAGCTGTGATGCAAGCCCCCTGGCGCTTATACGAGATGAGGCGGCTCGAAGAGCAGTCGTTTTCGGGGAAGCATACCCTGCAGCCCTTCGGCCTTGTGCACTTGGGAAAGCACGCGAATGCACGCTGGCCTTCGGCCCTCTGCTGGCTATTGGTCAAAACCAGCAGGGCCTTAGTCGGAGTGGTGAAATACGCCCCTCTGTGTAGGTCGAAGGCCACGGCTCTTGCCCGAGTTCACTATAATAATACGACACTACATACAAAGAAAGGTGACACTTTCACCTATTAAGTTATATTCGCCGTGGTCCGGACTCGCTCGAACCGAAAAAGTGTTTTAGTCTGTCGTGTTTACCATTTTCACCAAGCGAGTATGCTCACTATCGGACTTGAAGTGATAAACCGTAGGAACACATTTTAAGTCTGTCGTGTTTACAGTTTTAACCAAGTAAGCTTGATTTCAAACTAAACAGATTCAATCATGCAAAACACGGCGGGACGATTCCGTTCAGCTGCGTATCAGAGACACGGTAGGGGTTCAACCAAGGGCTGGCTATTCCAAGTGATCCCCTTTCACGACAAGCTTGAGTCTTCGCAGCGAGTTCTTTACTACGAGTATCTTCACCGACGTTGAATAAGTCATGTACGTCTCGTTGTGGACTTCAACGGGCTACTCACTGTATGAGTTTTTGCTTGACTAGATAATAAAGATTGCAAAAAAATGAAATAAAAGTAACGACCTGACGCGAAGCGGACATAGTCTTTTGAAAATCTATTATATTTTGTTGAAAAATATCTTGTTTTTTTACTTGAGTAGTCTTATGCATGGTAAGTACTATAGCTCCAATCATGGCAACAAAAAAAATAAGACTTGAAACCAGAAACAAATAAAAATATCCATAGGGTTCGTCAGTTGTCGGTTTTTGTCGTTTAAAGTGTACTCTTAAGATCGCCTCACCGCTGAGTCTTCCACGGGGAGTTTCTGTGTCGAATTTGGCTTTGTTGAGGGTCGAAGAAAAAAATTTGTCAAGTTCGTGAAGAACAACCTTACATAATAGAGGTGCGAAGCACAGGCTCGTAAGAGTTTGTGGAGTTCCGGGAATATGCACTTTGCCTACATTGGTTTTGTATCCCTCTTTAAGCGACCCTTTCACCAGCGCCATGAATTTCTCACAGGCAATCTCTTTTGTGATAATTCGCATGATAATGTTGGATAGGTTTTGTTTTGGCTTCTTTTGGAGGTTTCCGAAGTTTAATATGTCAGCTTTCAAAACAAAAAGTGAATTGGAATTAATCGCTCGAGTAAAAATATTTGAACCTTTGCATGTCAGTATAAAAAACCGATAACTTTTCATTTGGCTATCTATGAATGTAATGGAATATATACCTTTATCATTTGTAGCGACTATATGGTCTTAATGTATGGATCAAATACATTTCGTCCCACATATATCGTATCGATGAGATATATATCGATCGCACTACGATGGCTTACTATCTATAGATAGTT